CTCAAGCGAAACATTTAACTCGTTCTTCTGGCTTAATAATGTGTTTTCACCATCAGACTCGACAGGTAGGCCTACTTGACTGTCTACCCATTCCATTTTTTTCTTTATTTTGTCACATACTGAACAAGTGTCTTTCCTTGGATACCCAAATGAAATGTTAAATTTGCTGTTAAAAATACCACGATAGCTTTCGTATGAGCATTTTTGATTCGGGTGTTTCTCCTTGAACATAGTATACATTTTAGAAATGTTCAAGTCCTCTGAAAGGTACAATCTGGTGGTCTTGTTTCTTGCATAATGTGAGGAACGTCCTCTAAATGACTGAATATGCTGAATGATCAGATCAACATCTACAGCAGAAAAAGCATGTGGTCTGATTTTATGTTGCCCTCGCATGTCTTTGCATGGCAAACCTAATTAGGAAAAACAAAATAATAATAAAATTTAATACAAAGAATAAGTTATGATATTTCTATTATTTAATATATTTATAAACATTTCTATTATTATTATCATCTTTTCTCTCGTATTCTAGATTAAAATATATTTAAAAAAACAGAGGAAAAAATGTTAAGATTATGAGTCTTTTGCCCAGATGTAACATGTACAAGTACAATACTTTTTTTTACTAAGTTTTAGTTTTAAGTTAAAGGCTTAACTTTAACATAGTGGCAGTGGCTTCTTTTGTTCTATATCAGTAATATCAAAAATGATTATCATTTATTAAAGAAAGTCTTTACATACTTTCCATTAATAAAAAGTGGTTGGTTTAAATTAAAACAAAATCAGTTAACCCACCTGTGGCTGCTAGGCTTTCCCTGATTCTCCTGACACGGTTTTCTGTCACATCAAATATAGATATAAATCCCTTGACACACACATCAATTCGAGTGCATCTACCATCTCTAACAATATTCATATGGTATTTATAAGAATGGTTGTGAAATTCTGCCTCTGTTGGCTCTTCCTTTCTGCTACGGCGACGCTGAACTGAATGAACTGAAATGAGCGAGGCAAGGAATGCATCCTGCTCATCTTTTGTTTTCAACGAATTGAAATGGGAAATCATCTTTGACCTGTCATCTTCGGTAGTAATCTGGAAGCATTTTAGCACCTTACAGTTACAAGGTGGCCCTGTAACATGATTTCTTAACTTCTCATCTCGAGAAAACTCTCTTTTTCGTCCAGTAACTTGTTTTTTCTTCGGCTTATCTGTGACGATCGGTTTATCTACAACATCCGCCATGTTTGTTGTTTGCAATGTTGCTAGCCGGTCACGTGACTTTTCTCTAGATTCTCATTGGTTTGTACCAAAATAACTTGGACAGCTGTGACTTTTCCTTTGTAAACATTGGACATCGGTTGTTATTCCATTGTAGCCTATTTTTAAATACCTCAATAACGGGTGACTACGGTGGGTTTTCGCTTGTATATTTTCAGAGGTCATAGTTAAGCACCAGTACTCGATGAAAGGGACGCAAACGCGAAAATGTGTAAAATTGGACAACTGTGGTTTTTCCCCTGTAGTCTTCACATGTATTGTAGATATTTTTACCAGAGAATTCGGAGGTAATATTTACTAACCTAAGTCCAGTGGGTATTGATATTTTGGTTATAAATTATTTTTTTTAAAACAAATTGTTCCTTTTATGTGATTAAAAATTTTTTAAATGTCTTTTTGAATAAATTTCAGTCAATTAATGTACCATGTTTTTCAGGGGCATTATTTCAATCTATTATTACATTAATTACATAGAAAAAACCCTTTAAAAAAAAAAAAAAATCTTATATATTTTTATGACCTTGGGAAATCTTGGGAAATTCGTTCACCAAATCTTGGGAAATTTAAAAAAAGTGAGTGGCAGCCCTGCTCTAGATATTCGGTTGCTATTAAATATGATATGAATGTTCACAATTTTAGTCAGGGCTTTTAAAATATTTCGTAATACTCAGTTATGGTTGACTAATCGAATGATTCATATTGTCATAATTTATTGTTAATTAGTTATGTTTAAATCTAGCGACTGTGCTCTTGACATGGGCTATTGACATTCAACTATGTTTTATCATTTTATGTTACATACAGGCCCGAAAAGCGGTACCTTTACTTTATTAGAAGAAGTGTAAAGAAAACCGGGCTACCAAAATACAAAGTTTGGGAAACGGTAGCAAGGGAGATAACTTATTATGATCATAACCGTCATTTTAATTTCGTTTGTTTTCCCTTGGACTAATTTTAAAAAAACAGTTGGCCCTTTAATTGCTAATTAAAATTACATTTCAATAAGTCAAGTATTCTTATTTTAAAAAACTAACAAATTTCTTTCTTTATTTCTCCCCCCAGCACGTCATCAACTGTCTTCCTTACTTCCAGTCCTGTATCAATCCCATCATCTACGTCATGATGTCCAAGAACATTCGCAGCAGTATCCGCCATCTTGCCTCATCACTGTGTGCCTGCAAGCGATGCACCCGGGACCGGTGGGCAGAGTCTCCGTCACACGAACTAATTCAGACCAATCACAGTCATATAGGGGCAGGACAAAGCTATGATACATATCGGAGTTATTGTGGGACAAAGTCCACAACACATGTCTGAAATGACCAATAGGAAGCGTTTGAGGATATTAACTTAAGTCTGCGGAAATCCTACAGAAATCCCGATTAGGCAGTAATGCTTTATCAAGAATGGCGCCAACAGACTAACCAATCTATCGGCTTATTTCTAGAGCAGCCCATAATAAAGTTTCATTTACAAGTGGTGTGCCTCGAAACGAAAAAACGTAATTGTTTTTTTTTAAAAATCTCAAACAAGTGGAGCTCACACAAACTGCGGTTGTTGCACTAATGCAAGTAGAAATCAAAACTACAGTTGCCAAGTCGAGAAGTCGTCTGGCTAGTGACGACATTTTCACCAGAATTGTCGAATTGGTGTTATTAAAAGTATTCTTTTCAAAACCAGGACTTACATCCATCAATATTCTATATGCTCGCTTATGTCTTTGCTGTATGAAGAATGTTAAACACTATATGATGCACAATATTCCCTGTGGTACTGATGCTTGATGTCACCATATATGATGCACAATATGCCCTGTGGTACTGATGCTTGATGTCACCATATATGATGCACAATATTCCCTGTGGTATTGATGCTTGATGTCACCGTAAAGAGGGCTTCTGTGAGCAGTACAGTTGAGCCTAACTAGCTTGCAGCTGTTGACTATGGTATTCTTCATTCTTAAACTTTCTAGCACTAAAAGTATGTGTTATTCATTAGTACATTAATACAGAAAAGTACTTGCTGCTCCCATTGTAACTAAGTTCATTGCCCATATCCACTGCTACATATCTCATTATTACTGTCTATGTGACCGCTTGTCAAACAATTTATTGAATAAAATCCAGTTCAACTTTCTCATGCACTAGTTGAAAAACCAAAATGGTATTGCAGGCAGTGACAAGGCCTGGTATTGCAAGCAGTGACAAGGCCTTGCAAGCAGTGACAATGCCTGGTATTTCAAGCAGTGACAAGGCCTGGTATTTCAAGCAGTGACAAGGCCTGGTATTGCAAGCAGTGATGAGGCCTGGTATTGCAAGCAGTGACAAGGCCTGGTATTGCAAGCAGTGACAAGGCCTGGTATTGCAAGCAGTGACGAGGCCTGGTATTGCAAGCAGTGACGAGGCCTGGTATTGCAAGCAGTGACAAGGCCTGGTATTGCAAGCAGTGATGAGGCCTTGCAAGCAGTGACGATGCCTGGTATTGCAAGCAGTGACGATGCCTGGTATTGCAAGCAGTGACGAGGCCTGGTATTGCAAGCAGTGACAAGGCCTGGTATTGCAAGCAGTGACGAGGCCTGGTAATGCAAGCAGTGACGATGCCTTGTATTGCACGCAGGGACGAGGCCTGGTAGTGCAAGCAGAGACGATGCCATGACGAGGCCTGGTATTGCAAGCAGTGACAAGGCCTGGTATTGCAAGCAGTGATGAGGCCTGGTAATGCAAGCAGTGACGATGCCTTGTATTGCAAGCAGTGACGAGGCCTGGTATTGCAAGCAGTGACGATGCCTGGTAATGCAAGCAGTGACGATGCCTGGTATTGCAAGCAGTGACGAGGCCTGGTATTGCAAGCAGTGACAAGGCCTGGTATTGCAAGCAGTGATGAGGCCTTGCAAGCAGTGACGATGCCTGGTATTGCAAGCAGTGACAAGGCCTGGTATTGCAAGCAGTGACGAGGCCTGGTATTGCAAGCAGTGACAAGGCCTGGTATTGCAAGCAGTGACAAGGCCTGGTATTGCAAGCAGTGACAAGGCCTGGTATTGCAAGCAGTGAGGAGGCCTGGTTATTGCAAGCAGTGACAAGGCCTGGTATTGCAAGCAGTGACGAGGCCTGGTATTGCAAGCAGTGACGAGGCCTGGTATTGCACGCAGTGACAAGGCCTGGTATTGCAAGCAATGATGAGGCGTGGTATTGCAAGCAGTGACGAGGCCTTGCTAGCAAACAAGGCCTGGTATTGCAAGCAGTGAGGAGGCCTGGTTATTGCAAGCAGTGACAAGGCCTGGTATTGCAAGCAGTGACGAGGCCTGGTATTGCAAGCAGTGACGAGGCCTGGTATTGCAAGCAGTGACAAGGCCTGGTATTGCAAGCAATGATGAGGCCTGGTATTGCAAGCAGTGACGAGGCCTTGCTAGCAGGCAATGGATAAAAAGCTGCTCAAGATGTTTAAATTTATATTCAAACAGAATCATACTGAGCTCAATACTCAAAAGATTGTTATTTAAACAGTGTAAGTTGTCACATTATAATGTTAGCATCAGCTACTTAAAATGTACCTGACACTTAGACGTGTCAAAGGCATCGCAGGTTGTACATGTGTCTCTGGTAAGAGTAGTATCTGTGAAAAATCTGTCAAGTCAATGCTATTGACAATGACTCAATGAGTATGCAAACTATAGCATTATTGAGTCATAATTTTAATAAGACAAAACTCTAAGAAGCTTTCACAAATGTATTTCAATGACTTTACACAAGCACAGACAGGCAAAATTTTCATATTAAATCCAAATATATTTACACCAACAATTAAAATTATTCAGACTCTGTTACATTATAATAAGAAATACATCAAACACTAGCAAATTAACCAGAGGGTCTCATATCCTAAATATGTTGGCTCTAGCAGTCTATATAACTATATACATGTTACAAGAATATGAATTTGGTGACTGTTAATACATTGGTAATGAAATTTTAATAGATTTTTAATACAACTCATAAATTATTCAAAAGCATGAGTTTGTTTTTTTTAAAGAAAGCTCATGGCTGATAAACTATACATGTTACACTTTGTGTATTTGATGTCGCCCAGATCTCTTCTCAACTTGGATGATGTCTTACACTGTAGATTATACAACTTGTCACATTCCACAGGCACAAGATATTATAGCAACAATATTCAAGACTGGCAGGTTTTTTGGAATGAACGTCAGATATCAATATAATAATGGCTGTTAACAGTGTGGTCGCAGTGAAAAATAGTTTGGTGGACATGGTGCCGGCTTTCAATGTAATCTTGAAGGGGACAAGACTTTCTATTTGTGTTGCCCAAATTACAATGACATAAACAATTATACCTGCACTATTTGTTCAACGTCTTCAGTGGTTGTAGCTAAAAAAAAATATTTGATAAGAATATAGTATCATATCATTTTAAATTAAATTTATAAACAGAATATAATAATGGCTATAAAAACCAAATGCTCACTACTTGTACATTCGATCTTTTATGTGGAGCAGGCCTGCACAATTCAAAATGGAAGGCGGGCCGTAATACTTTATGAAAAACTTCTGAGAACATATTAGCCTAATTTTATGGCATAATTTTATTTTTTTTTGGTTTACAATTTTTTTTTTCCAAGTGATAAGAAGCCTATATTGAAAGTGACATACCAATGTTCACTAATTGCTTATGACATCAAAACTTTTTGAGTTGGACTGAAAATTTCTCTTAAGCTTTGGTTAATTTGATAATTTCCAACAGCATTGTGTGTAAATCACCTTGTAAGACATTGATATTGTGGGTGGGGAGGGCTTAACAGTTTGTCATCTTGTAACATTTTCATTTGTTTAAAATGCATCTTGTAACATTTTCATTTGTTTAAAATGCATCTTGTAACATTTTCATTAGTTTAAAATGACATCTTGTAACATTTTCATTAGTTTGAAATGACATCTTGTAACATTTTCATTAGTTTGAAATCTTGTTAGGTTTTTCATCAACCTTTGCCAGACATCGTAGAAATCCAGCATATTACTATTCACATGTGAATGAAAATAAACTTAACAAGAATAAGTTTCATGAGAGTGATCTCCCTGTGTTCATTAGCCTGATGCCCAAAGATGATTTGCCAACGTTAAATCTGAATGTTTGGCTCGTGATTGTTTGGTTTAAGTTTTCTTTTCTCACTACAAGCGCTGACACAATTTAAGACAACGCCTTGTCGGCGGTCAGGGTTTTGTTTAAACACTTTAGAATGTTTAAACAAGAATAAGACGTTTAAGTTGAAGTCATTTAAATTATATATTGTGTTCAATTTATTTGTGATCTCTATCTGTGACATTCAGTCAAATCTCATCTCCATTTGTGGAACACATTAAATTTCTTTGAATATATTTCTCCCATTCATCCTTAGAATTTCATCATCATCTGTGGCACTAAAGCACATAAAGAGCTCTGGTCTCCACATATCCTAAGGCTTACAGTGCTCAAGATATATTTCGTTTGTATCCATCCTTGATGAATTATGAAAAAAGTCTAAGCAGTGAAATGTAATACTCATTCTAATTCAGTCTTTCCAGCTTGTCCTCCTATCCATATAATAGCTTGCCAGGTTTTTTGAATCCATAAAATAACTTGAGTACATGTGGCAGCTCTGTGAAGTGTTTACAAGTCACGTATGAGATTAAATGGTGAATGCTCGGCTAACTTTGATATCATTCCAATCTCATAAAACGCTTTTACTCAGTGTTGTACAAACTGAAAGATGATGTAATTAACTGTTGTATTTTAAACAATGCAATCAGCATATGTTAATGTCTTGAACCATCGGTGAGAAGTGTACGGTACAGCACTAACAGATCTGGGCTGAGATCAGTGATGGCCTTGGTCAGATTTAGACTCAATAACATGATTGTACATTGTTCAACTGTTCACATCTGACTTTAAGATGCTCTAAACATCAGACATCAAGAAAGCCGTCATTTTCCTTGTCATTGTCCTTGTCACCATCATAGAATTCATTGTTTGCTTCAATTCTGAAAAATAAAAAGTATTCACAATTAAGAATATCATAATAACTTTTTGACCTTCTCAATCCATGTCTTTAATTTATGTTGTAGTGTTTATTATTTAAATAAATATTTTATAGGGATTTGTTGCTTGTCTTTACTATGAGGAATTATTGGGTGCATATTAGGAGTTGTTGAGTGTCAATGATCAGTTATTGGGTGTCTATGATCAGTCGAGTCGGACATTATAGAGTGTCTGTGGAGAGTTGTTGAGTGTATATATAGGAATTATTGGGTGTCTATGATCAGTCGGACATTATAGAGTGTCTGTGGAGAGTTGTTGAGTGTATATATAGGAATTATTGGATGTCTATGATCAGCTGGGCATCTGGGGTCCTTGATTGGGGTTCAGCTTAATAAACGGGGTAGTGGTATGTTAAAGGAAGTGGTATGTAAGGGGTAGTGGTCTGTTTGGGGTATTTGTTTTAACTTGTAAAAAACAGGGTAGTGATCTGTTTTAACTTAAGCTTAATAAACTTGTAAACCAGGGTAGTGGTCTGTTTTAACAAAAAGAGTAGTGCTCTGTTCTTACTTAAGCTTACTAATTAGTAGTAAACAGGGTAGTGTCTGTTTTAACATATAAAAAGTTTTTTTTAACAAGGGGAAATAACTTTGTACATAAGGCTAAACAACAGAGATCTTAAGTTTCCAAAGTCACAAAATACGTTTGGTGACTCATTCCAGGTTAATTTTTTATTCAAAATGTTAAAAACTCATATTTAGTTTCTAAAATGATTTCTTAAATATTGTATTTCTGCTCAGAAGTATTATAAAATAATTTTGCTAGCTAACAACTACCAGAAAATGTTTCTGCTTTTCTAAAAAGTTATAATCATTATTTTATTGCTCAAATACTTTTACATGTTCTATCCAACAATTCTTTCAATTTTTGACTGTGGCTAATGTAACATGATATAAGATTAAAATCATCTGGTATTGAGATTTTACTTGTCATTAAAAAAAACCTTTTTTTAGTTTACTCTCTGAGAATTATGAGTCACCTTTTATCCAGGTCATCTGTAGAGTTCCTGACATCAGGATCAGGCTCTTCTGTGTTCTCTAGACTCAGCAAGTCAGATGGGATATCCTGCATCTGGACACTGGGAGCTGCTGTTAACATCTTTAAGTTTTCCAATATACTGGTCTTTATGTTATCCAGATACTGCAAAGAACACCAATTATTAAAATTTTCAATTTTAATGTGTGAACTGAAAAAAAAGATTCAACCAAATTTCCGTTCAATCAAATTTCTGTCTATCAAATTTACATTGACAAAATTTCTTTCAAACAAATTTCCAGAAATACACAAAAATGTACCTGTCTAGTGTTTAAATTCTCCTGCTTTGTGAAGATTTCTGTGTGCAATAAGAAGTCAGGACCAAAATACTCCAGATATTCTGTTTTGAAATAATTTGATGTCTATAAAAACATTTAAAATATGTTCACAAAATACTTATCCATTATTTATATAATTTTAGGTGGAAGGGGAAAATCTGAAACACAAGTGTAATATGTGACAGGTTTAAAATCGATATTTTCATTAATGTTTAAACTGAATAGTTGGGCTAAATAAGATTAGATTGACATTTCAAATTTTTTATTGGAACTAACCATATAGAGTGTTCTATTTGAATTGCTTAACATAGCTACTTACCATTATAAGGAATCTCATTACTGATTTGTTCTCCCAACAAAACAGCTGTTTCATATGTCCAGCACCGAGCAACATTTCTCTTGGTGTAACCTCCCCCTCCCAAAACCAGCAGTGGCAAGTTAAAAGACTTAACATATTCTACACATTCCCTGTTTGAAAAAAAAGAATTATTTTTTTTTCTTCAAATTTTCCATTTGAAAATATAAATAAATGAAGATTTGATAAAACTGTCAACCATTTATGTAAGACAACTCTATATACCATTATGATGATTAAGTAATTAACCTAGCACTTGTCAAATATTTTTGGCTGATTTATTATACATTTGACTTTATTAGTCCTTTATTTAATATTAATTAATTTCAACATGGAATGTATGTAATGAGGGGAAACAGAATTATTTTATTATTTCTTCTTCTATTTCCATATGGATGCCGAGATAATGACTTACAGTGACAGACATAAAATGTCAAACATTTCAATTAAAACGTACCCATGTCCTTTGATACTAAGGTTGAAACACCCAAGTCTGTCACTTCCCAAGGAATCTGCTCCACACTAAAAAAAAAAAGAAAAAGATTTTTAATTTTAAAAAAACCTAAATTGATCTCCAGGCAGAATTCAGAAATTAAATCACATAAATATAAATGATCTGTTCATCAACTATGATAAATGTCAGAAAAGTTTGCTAAACTCAAATTAGAAATAGAGCTGGACTGATGATGGTTTAACAGATGAGCTATTTTATTGTACTACATCAGAGCTGGAACAAACCACTTTTTTTTTTAATTTATAACAAAAGCAATACATAAAGCAGAAAAGGTTGAATCATTGCAATTTCTAAATTCAGAGAAACATCTTTGTTGCATTTCCAAATAGGCAATTTCAGAATCTAAACCTATACTGTTAATTATATAGAAAATACCAAACTCTCATTTAAGGTAAATGAAGTTTACCTGTAACACAACAGCTGTTGGTCTATATAATTCCATAACACTGCTAATGATAGGCTTGAAAACTTGCATGTAGCCTACCAAGGAAGGAAAAGTATCATGATCAATGTTAAAATCTATATCTAATAAAAAAGAACATCACTCTTGGAACACATCATTCTAATAAGTGGTAGTGAAACAAATTCTACTTTTGTATTAACATTCACATATTTGACAGTACGAACAATTTAAGGGAACTTTAGCCAAGTTCTATATTCAAGTCTTCAATGTGGCGCGTTCACATTAACAAAAAATACACCTAACAAATGGCAAGTGCTAAAAATGAGTTTTGGTGTTATTGGGTTCAAATCTGTCAAGAGCCACTCCTAGCTCTGGGCAATGTCCAGTATGGACTATACTTGTAACCCCAGCAAGGCAGCTGACCATAATAGGGTATGGTGGATTAGACTTGTTACCCCACCAGGGCAGATGACCAGCAGAGGGTATGGTGGACTAGAATTGTAGCCCCAGCATGGTAGCGAACCTCAAAGACAGAAGACAGCCAACAACTTGGCCTGAGATTAAACGCTAGATGTCTACACTTTTGTGACATAAGACAGCTGACAGACCAAAGTATATTAAATCTAGATTCACAAAATCTCAAGAAGATATGTTTTTAAATTGAAGTGAATCAGTTTAAAACATTAAACCTCAAGTCATCCATATTAAATGAGGAAAAGCTACTCCAAATTACAAAACAATTTTGAAAATAATTGGACCCTGAACCCCACAGAAGACGGTAAACCAGAAATGCGTCTTTTAACCCTTGAACTCCATATACTTACTTGCATCATCTATACCCGTGAGGAGAGGGACATTGACAGAGTAATAACGGCCACTTTCTGCTCCTATTTCATACATGTCACCTGGAAAATACAATTATTTTGTTAAGAGGAAAATCACTGAGTTTTTGGTTTTATTTAACTAATTTAGCACTGATATCATTTGGATTAATTTTGTAGAACTATTAAAATTTTTCAAACAATAAACTAAATTAATTTGTTTTCTGACTTATCACTTAAGCAGACTCCACTGCCTATTGTACTTAACATGGAGCTAGGAAAATATCATGTTAAAACAAACAACTAACAGTGGTAAAAAAATATATATATATATTCTGTTTCAAATAAAATTAAAACTAATATCTTGATGATTAGTTGTTGAGCCACCTGTTCCTGGGAAAAAGTATTGTCCATATTTGTGGAATGAAACACTCATGACTCTGTCTGTGAGATAAAAGGCTTCTTGGACACCATCTCCATGATGAATATCAATGTCAATGTAGAGAACACGTGGGTGATACCTGAGGTAGAATTAAAGAAGCTTTGAAAACCCCAGCCATAAGTATAACTCCAAATTTATATATATATATATATATTTATTTTTTTTTTGTACACCAAACGGAATTAGACATGAAAACTGGTTCAAATATTATTTTGTCCATAGATTTATAAGATCAGCAATAAAAAAGTTGTATTCTAGATTCTGTACTAATTGAGCAGTGCACGTGCATTGAATTAACTTTCTTTTGCGCTTTTGCTGGAAGTATAAGTTTATCCACATAAAGCCTTCTGGTAGTGCAAAATAAAATTAATTTGTTAAATTAGACAAAAAGACAAAACACACAATTTATATTTCAACAAAAAGAAAAAAGACACAATTCTTACTTCAAAAAATTATACAATTCTTACTTCAACAAATGACACAACTCTTACTTCAACAAACAAAGACACCATTCTTACTTCAAAAAACAAAGACACCATTCTTACTTCAACAAACAAAGACACCATTCTTACTTCAACAAAGACATAATTCTTACTTCAACAAAAAAGACACAATTCTTACTTCAACAAACAGACACCATTCTTACTTCAACAGAGACACAATTCTTACTTCAACAAAAAAAAGACACAATTCTTACTTCAACAAAAAAAAGACACAATTCTTACTTCAACAAAAAAGACAAAATTCTTACTTCAACAAACATAGACACCATTCTTACTTCAACAAACAAAGACACAATTCTTACTTCAACAAACAAAGACACAATTCTTACTTCAACAATTCCAAGATTGCAATAACAATATCATTCACATAACAAAAACCAGAGGCCTGAAAAAGGTTAAAGAAAAAATAATATAATTTGTATATCTCAAAACCTAAACCTCTTACTTCTCACCATCTCTCCTATCTTGTCTCATGAAACTAGCCACCCTCCTAAGCCTTCCCCAATAAATACTTTGAGCTGGAGCAGCAGAAAAAATACCAGTAGCAGAAATTTCAATACTTGTTTGCTCCTAAGCCCTACTCTAAGTCCAATAAAATTCAATAAAGTGTGTAAAAAAAAAAACTAGGAGGTTAACGATTAAAGTGTTTTGACCCAAAACTAGGGCAACATATACTAAAATTTTGTACAAAATTTTGTATATAGGTATTGAGTTAATCTTTAAAGTAGATATATAAAAAGAATTACCTCATATTTTTTGGCATGATGCAGTCCACCAGACCAGTTTATGGCAATGTCACATTGCTGTAAAAAAATTAGTGCCAGCCATTTGTTATGTACAAGAATAGGCAGGAAGACGTATGAGCCAAATATAAACGACAAGCATCATATAAATAACTTTCAAACATAGTAAACTTTACAACAATAATGATAGCAAGAACAAGTAAAATCCAGGCTTGTGTCAACATTAAGCTTCATGAATGCTATTGCAGGAATAGACAAAAATGCATTATTCAAAGTTCTAAAACATAAAAAAATTCAAATAATATGAGAGTAAAATTTAATTAAATTTTCTGTATTAGAATAAGCGTGTGACTCACATTATTATTTAACTTGACTGCACCTTCCAATGATGCCCCAGTGTACATTTTACAGAAATCAAACATGCCATCAAAAACAGGACTGAAAATGAAACATGTGTCTTAACCATGAGAAAGTTGACTAATCAAGAGGCGCTGCATATAAGTTAATACTTAGCTTTCAATTTCATATCTACCAATATAAATCATTGATTTAATTAATTTAAATAATATATATTATTTATTATGTCAGTTAAAAGTCTGAAATATATCAAATTTTATAGAATATTCTTAAGTGCCCCTTTAACTCAACCTGAGAAAATATACCCACCAGTCTTCTCCAACATTGTAAACTGAAAGATATTTGGTGTGATTCTGTACGTTTTGAGGCGTGACAGAACTTAAGAAATTGATATAATCATCTGAGTGAAAACGACACATGTCCCTCTCTGTAGCCTGATATGGTCTATACAACTGCAATTTAAAAAAAATTTTTAAAGTAATTGCATTACATGTAATACAAAATGTTTTCTAATATCTTATTTCTGTTGCTAAAAACTTATTCATTCAATCCCGTGGATTATTTTCCCATATACATGTGATTTCCCAAGAGGTTTTTTTTTAGCTTCGTTAATTTATTGCATAAAATTATTAACATTAGTTTTTTTTTAAACTATTTCTCTTCAACTATATCTTTAATTATGTAGTATATTTTTCCCAGTTCCAGTGAGACTGGTTTATCCATTGGAATGTCTTCAAATGGTAATCATAGCTCCAAGCAAACAAACAAATGAGATCTGGCATAAAGCTGTTTCAACACCTTATTTGTTGTGCCAAAGCTATAGACCTTGTCCTGCACAAACTGATGATGTCTATCTAGCTTTTAGATGTATATTGGCCTGTGTTGTTTATGGTTGCAAAGTATGAAAGACTTAGAATGGGTATTCTTGGATGTAGTTTTGTAATGTTGAATTTTGTACTTCAATGTGGTATGTACCGCGCTTCGAGCCTTTGGGGATGAAGCGTGATTTTTAAATAATCTTTATTATTATTATTAAATATTGTGAGTGTCAGCACATATTTAGTCACATTAAAGAAATCTGTATTCTAACAGACTATCATTAAATTGGTGGGAAATAATTTCCAGATAGCATTAATATATTTATTTTTTATTGTCATTACAGTTGGGATTTTTTTCTATTTGTAGGGTGATTTTCTGTGTAAAACAGACAGGAAAAAACGCTTGTGCTCTACACGTCTCCAACGAACCATAGCCAACGATAACACGAATAAAGCACTTAAACTAAACAAAAAAAAAACAAATACATAGTAGTTTTTCGTTTGCCTGTCTAACACACCTTGTTATCTGGTGGGGTGGTTACACAGATTACCTCGCACAAACTGTCTCTCAAGAGAATCAATACATATATGAGTGTTGTAGATTATTTGATTTGTACCGTTGACTGCGATCTGGATATTTTATGTATTTTATAACTAGTCTAAACCAGAGCTTTCTTCACAATTTTCCCATGACTGAAAGACAAGTTTATTTATTCCTTACCTTCATTTTCTTGTGAAGCCCATATCTTAATACCAAACTGTGTGTGAGAGATATTCTGTGAGGCTTCATTGGGTGGCCGGGTCCTAATTTAAAAAGGTGAAATTTTATTATGTTTAGATCATATTAATTATACTTAGGGCCCCACTTTTACCACAGACAGGCCCTGCAACAACGGTGAGTTTCTATTCGTTTTTTTTTTTTTAAAAATGGTAGGGAATCCCGTAAAGAAAATACCATAGGTCATATCCTGGCATTTAATTCTAAGCTAAGGTTATCCATGATGATCATTGATGGGAGGCACTCTGGTAAAGCAATGGAGACTACTTCAAAATTTGTAAGTGACATGGATGTTAGCACAGAAGAATCTGAGCCATTAATTTTTAGACATTAGTGCTTTTTCACTAATGAATAGATTATTTTGTCATAAAATTGTGGTATCCATCCACACATTCACAGTAGAGGACATCATGGCCTACATTTCCAATGTAAGTTTTTGCCTTATCAATCGACCCTAATTTTAAGAAATTCGTGGGTATATTTATAAGGCATCTTTCTCTAAATAATGTTTGAAGTTGAAGAAGTTCAAAATCTATGTCTTTAGCAGTGTATATACATATGATGCTTTAGACTTGGTTACAGTAAACAGAACAGCCATCTCTTATTTATTAAATTTGCTGATAACACATTTTACATAGCTAGATAAGTTACAATTTATTTATAATTGCATAAAAAGTGTTAAAATTATTTTAAAAAATAAAAGTTTATTTATTCAAGAGTACATAACACATAATGCGATCAGCTGAATCAGGTAAGAAAATGTGGAGGTTCAGTCCATGCCCATTATTAGTTATTAGACATGTCTCAGTCAAAGTAAAAAAAAAAATACAAATTCTAAACAAAATAAAAAATATTCATAGTATTATTAGCATTATTATTCTGGCTTCAATTTTTATTTGATGCTCTATAAATACAACTTTACTTTAGACTTTCTGATTTTTTATTATTTTTATTTTTTAACTTGGTAAATTCTGAGAGATCGTCCCGGGGTTTCCGCCATCTTGGTTGACACAACCAGTTAATTCTGTCACTAAACCTATCCCTAAATCGATCCCTATGCCTAACCTGAACCCTGAATCGATCCCTCAATCTAACCTAAACCCTAATTCACTGCAACAAAATAAACACACAAATGACGTCACGGGCTGAATCTAAATTATTTGAAATTGGTTAGTCTAGGTAGGTACTTTGGTCAAAAATTTAAACATTTTGTAAAAATAAACCAATGGCATAGTTGAATACAGCTAATTTTTGGACAGAATTACAACACCAAAATCATATTTTTAGCTGTTGTAGTTTTAAAGTTATGAATTTTTTAAGTACGACTTGGTTTGTCCTTTTTTAACATGGACTGCATCTCCAGTTTCTGTGACCTCATTCCGCTGATCACGTCATGCAAATTGACTATATAGTTTATATAAGGCAACGCATCCCCTTATCACTAAAGTACTGTTTAGGGTCGACTTATTTTAAACTTTCAACTTTGGCACATGAATAATTAATTAAAGCTTTCCTGACCAATGGTTTAATAGTTTTGCACACTGCAAACTCTTATGAATGAAACTCTTAGATAGTACTACGATATAGCCGTTATGCAAGTGGCTGTGAATGAGAAGGGTTGCCCATGACTACTTGTTGCACACAGAAAATTGGGATCATTTATGACAGTGGGTCCCAAACTTTTAAGTTTGGCGGACCGGTGAACAAGTTTCGAAATTTTACCAGGTACCGGTGCATGATTTATTTTTATACTTCTATTTCTATTTGACAATAAATATTTATGTTATGGGGACCGGCAGCGTAAGGCATGCGGACTGGTGAAGGTCCACGGACCGCCATTTGGAGACCACTGATTTATGATATGGACTCAAGGTTTTTAAAGCTCAAATTAAAACATTCCAGTTTAAATGTCTTCAAAATGCATTCTGAAACACAAGTTATCAAATATTTTGATGTATATAATGGTAATAATTAAATATTTCCTAAGTATCGGCAACTTCCGCCATTAAAAAAGGGGCGTGGCCCACATGTCGAAATTAGGTTGAGCGACCTTATGGTGATATGGGTCATTTGGACACTCGTAACAAACGCCCGACACGACCTACATCAATGAGAATCGGCACAGATATAGATCATTATCTAATGCTTTTACAGATTTAATAAAAAAGGACCTTATCTTATTATTAATTCACAAAAAATTTTGTATGCAAAAATGCTGTATATATACCAAAGATTTTCAAAATAAAGGTCGACTGAAAAAGGCAAAATAGTTGGATGGAAATGTAGGCCAAGATGTCTTCCAAATTATAAGGCCAAAAACAGAACTCAAATATATGTCGAAAGTACTCATTTAATAATAAATAGACACACACATCGGAAAATTAAAACACTCGGATTTTTCGGTGCCGATTCCCATTTCCAATAAACACAAAGTAGTAGTCACCCTTGTTTCATCGAAGAACCTAGTCTAGGCCTCGTAATTTAGTAATACTAATACTAATTGGCAATTTTTATTTTAGCACAAGAAATTATTTCTAGTGAAATAAATTAAAAACTTCCTCTCTATTTACCTGATGGAAAATGCTAGTCCTAAAGTAAAAAAATAAAGCCCTTATTTAAATTAAGCAATTTTTAAAGTAGGACGTTGAGGACCTATCGATATTAGGTAATTATATCAACAAATTACAATTTAATGGCCCATAGGGATCTATTTTGACATTTTAAAAATACTAAATCTTTATTTCAAAGGATAATTTTTAGCAAACTCACCATAATGAAAATTTCCGACCTCAGGATCATAAAAATAAGCTACGGTCGACATTATAGTTCCTATTAGGGAAGTTAGCGTCTCATTGTTTATAATGGGTACATCTAAATACCGATATATGCTTTGAAATTTCAGGATTTTAGAATGTTCGCAAGAATTTGAATCATTTTGCCTTTTATAATAAATATTTATGTGACTTTAGCTCTTATGAAACAAAATAAGTATTTAATTCTTGGCTTTAAATATTGATTTTACCCACTTAAAACCAGTTTTAGAGTGCTTTTTAATCATAGTAGATTATTAATTTATTAAACGAAGTGCCGTGCCGTGAATTGAAATGTTAAGTTCGGAAAAGTGGAGAGTGGATTTTTGTTGGGTCATTGTTAATGCATTCTGATGAGTTAAATAAATATCCAAGGTTTACTAATAATCAGAAACTTCCAATGTCTTATTCTCCCGTTAAAATCGAAAATTTGAGCTTGAAATAGTTGTGTTGATCTAGTAATTTGATCAAATAATTCTGGCTCAGAACACATTTGAATGACTTTTACATTATTGGTCATAAGACGTAACCATCACACAATACTTATTTTCTCTAAAGTTATTTTGCATCATTTAGCATAGATCATAGGTAAACAGCTGCATTAACTTATCAAGTTTTAAACGTTGACATTGATGTTAACCATTTTTAGTCTTAAAACTAAATGACTAAATGCATTAATTTTTTTTTCTAAAAAAAAGAATTGATTGAAACAAATAATAAAGCTATTTAGTTAAACTGCAATGTGTGTCAAAAATACTTTTAAATATGCTGCTGATAATTTTTAACAAGTCATATCTGGACTTAGTATGACCGAAACTAAATCAACCAAACCAAAACAAGAAATACAAATTACGGAGTGGCTATAGATACCCAGGTATCTATAGAAATTGGCTATTCGTACCCGGCTGGTCACGTGAGGGCTTTATTAATATTCGGTTGGTCACGTGACGGTTATGACGGATACTTCCTGTTGGTTTGCCATCTTAGAGCCATTACTATCAATCGAGATTTATTTGTTTCTGATTTTGGAATTTACAGTGGGGGAGGGGTCTGGGGGAGGGGTCTCCCCTCCCCAGTCGTTTCATAACACGTTTTTTGCACTACATTTTGGCCGCCATCTTGGTTGACACTTCACGTGACTTCACGTGGAGCGTCAACTGAGATGGCGGCCATGATGGGAAACCCCG